ACATCGATGAAAAATTGCCATAAGCACCAAAAGGCAGGGAGAACAACAAAACATAACATTTGTGAGCTGCTCCTATCAAGTTTGAAAGGATGACAGACATAGGGAAAGGGGGAGGAAAGTAAAGGATGCAGAGGAGAAACTCCAACCTATCCAAGAAGGCAAGATAATCAACATGGACAGAGGGAAACATACCCGTGCCCCTGAACGGATGCCAGACAGAGCATTAGAAATGCCGAGCCCTCCTGACCGTTTCCCTTCCACCTGCTCAGCTGCCCCTCCAGCCCTCGTCCCTGGGACCCCCATGCCCACCCCACCCCCAGATGCTGCAGCCGCTGCTCTCCTGGCAGCGGAGCCACTGCCTGTGCGCGTGTAGCCACCCTGATGCATCTGACGGTCAGCATCAACTCCCTGCACAGTGGCAGCACCGCACAGTGAGGAAGAAAAAACATCAGATGGTGACAGGATCAGGGAACATATGAGGCATGATTCAGCTGATTGAAATACGAAGAAACAAAGGCAACTGCCACCACAGTACAGCGAGTAGGGTCAAGGGTGAGGAGAACGTAGGAGCAAGAGGAAGAGTCAGGGAAACGGCAGGAGATGATTGGCAGGCCTCACATCATCATCACGCAGTGGGCTCCTGTGCCTTGGGCTCTCGATCAGCGGTGACCGACGCCGCGCCATGTCATCTGACGAGAATGAGGCATTGAAAACGAGTGGAGAAGAGCTCGTGTGGTGAGAAAGAGATGGGACCAGACCAGACCATGGTAGCGTGTGTGGAAGAATGCACACCTGGTTATAGGAAACATAGTCTACATGCTTCTATATGCCCATCCCTTACCCATGCCGGCATTGGCTGCTTGGTTTGCAGCCGCAGGAGCAGGAGCCACTGCTGCGTTTGCCTGAAACCACCCAGCAAAAAGACACAATGGAGACGTCAGTGGGAGACAAAGGAAAGGCACAATTCTCACAACACTAGAAGCTTCTCGGCTGCAATGCCACATGACATACATGATGACAAGGGAAGGCGGGAACCATGGAAACGTACAAGGAGGCGCTGGGGAGCCACGGATGCCTGGGATTGCTGATACTTGAGAATGGTCCAATCAAAGACATAGTCAAACTGGAATCCTGTCAGCCACACACACCAGAACATTATAAGACTTTTGGCAGATGGTTCGTCCCCCAAAGTGAGCAACGCAACGACGATGAATGAAACACAGCGAAAGCGCAGGCGGGGATGCTGGAAAAGAGGTACCTTCTCGAATGAACAGGTCACGGAAGAGACGCTTGAGGTAGGCATAATCTGGCTTGTCGTCAAAGCGAAGCGAGCGGCAGTAGTGGAAGTATGAGGCGAGCTCGGTGGGGTAACCCTTGCAAAGAACCTAATAAATAGGGGTAACAAGAGGAAGGAGCAAGCGAAGCGGCATGAACAAATGCACTCGGCATAGCACGCAATAACCTTCTCAACAGCCTCTGAATACAGAAACGGATGTTTCAAAGGAGAGGAGTACCTCTATGGGAGTGGACATCTTCTTCTCGCTGATCTTCTCATACTTCTGCTTCTTTGTCCCAGCCTTCAGCCCCTGCCATGGAAGGCTGAACCAGAAAGGCAAGGAGGGACGGCAGAGGAAAAAGACTTCGAACAAATGGTCAGGTCAACCAGAACAAAAAGACTTCGAACCATTTCCCTACTTGCTGCAGCATTGACCATTGCACTAAATCAGCTGCCTCATGATCCCGTGCAACATACCTTCCTCGCAAAAAATACATGAGGACATAGCCAAGCGACTCCAGATCGTCCCTTCGGCTTTGCTCTGAAATGGGGGACGTTGAGGAAGAAGAAAGGTGGAATCAGTCTCACGGTTATCAAGGCGAGCATAGGCGATGTGGGCGACTGGTCTCACAAGAGCAACGTGTGACATACCAATGCCAAGATGTGTGTTGATGCTGGCATAACGAGCTGTTCCTGTCAGGTTCTTGTTCTCTCTGCCCGCACAATCAACACACGGAAAATGCATCTGTCAGCGCTAAACATGTTCAAAAGACACCTTCTGGCAGGGACATACCAAAAAAAAACTGCACATTGACAAAACTACCAGATTATGAAGGCAACACAACCAGCACAAACCTGTAGGGAATATGCTGATGCGTGGTGGGATCGCGATATTTCTTGGCCAGACCGAAATCAATGACGTAAGCCTGGTTCGCCCGTCGTCCGAGGCCCATGAGGAAATTATCAGGCTTGATGTCTCGATGCAGGAAGCTCTTCGAATGGACATACTCCACGCGATTGAGCTGTCAGGGGGGAACAGCATCGGGCAAAGACGTCAGTCGACAAAGTATGTCTTCTTACTCGCGTCACTATTGCTCGCCTCCTGTTAGCCGCGGCTGCTACTTCGCTAAACTTAAATCACCTCTTACGTCTGTGACGGCTAATTGTGACGTTCCGGAGTTAAATCCATCCCATCTGATCGCATCAATCACCTCGTGTACGCGACCGTCGCGGATGTGATGAGACCTAGCAAGGTTCGCAACCGAGGTAGGTATTCGAACTGGTGGTGTACTTATACCCCACCCCAGGCAGCCGAAAAACGGCGTCTAACTGTATCTTTACAAGCATCAAGAAGCCGATGGCTGTCCAACCACCGTAAACAAGAACGAACTCAAAAAAAGGAAGGGAAGGGATGTGTGCGACAGAGGCGGAATGGGAGAAAGAGAGGGGGAGAGAGACCGAGGATCTACACAACCGTCTGCGAACCCACCAGCTGGTCTGCAAGCATGAGCACGGTCTTGAGCGAGAACTTCCTCGCGCAAAAGTTGAAAAGGTCCTCCAGACTGGGTCCGAGCAGGTCAATGACCATCACATTGTAGTCGCCTTCCACGCCGAACCACCTAATGTTCGGAATACCGGCTGGGAGTATTCAACATGCGAGGATATATGAGGGATGCGGTAAGACTCTCTCAAGCAAACGCGACCCAACAGGAGCATCGATCGGGAATGAGAACTTCGCAGCAAGCTCGATGCAACGGGAGCAACGATCAAAACGTTCAATTAGACTCTGACAAGAGCTGATAACTAAAGAAGCTGTAGTTTTACTTACTTCCACCCTGCAGAATCCTGTACAGCTTCGATTCATAGAGCAGCTGAGGGTGCTTGGTCTTAGTAGATTCCTGCACGTCAATGATCGGGCAGTATATTGTCAAGTCTGCTACTAAAAGGAATGGATGACAAAACACGTGATAAGGTCGCATACCAGCTTAATACCGACTTCCTCGTTTGTCTGGATGTTCGTGCCTGTAAATCACGGACGACGAACGTAAGTCGTTATAAGAATAAACTCTTAAAACTCCTCGTGTTACATGAATAGTTCCTAACATACCCAGATAGATTTCTCCAAACGACCCGCTTCCAATCTTCCTCCCGAGTCTATACTTGTTGGCTATCCGAGGCTCCATCCCCGACATGGTTCCTGCCGGTTTAATCTACTAGCGTACAGGTCTGCGAATCGTTGACAGCTCACCCGCCGCTACAATCAGCACGCATAGTTCCCAGAACCTAATCTGATGAAACCCTAAACTGTTTATATACAAGTAATGCTTGAGAAAAAGCTTTGGTTCGGCAAGTGCAAGATACGCAGATATGTATTTTAAATCTCCTGCTAAACCTAAAGATCAAAGCTATGAAAATCTAGAGGATTTGGATGGGCAGCCATGCACGGGGGCTGCTTTTGAGTTTGTCCTCGAGGTTAGATGGCGTCTCGAAGTTGGGGCACCATCAGAAGTCAGGTAGTGTTGGTGCTAGCGGAGGGTTCTCGGGGAGGGGTGAGGAGAGGATACCAGCTGGGAAAGGTGAGGACAAGCTTCTTTCCTGACCTTGACTGAGGGAAGCTCACCTCGTTTTCCCCTGACAAACCACGAAGCATGGTCTCCACCGCAGTCCACCCAAGCCAAGCCACACTTCCCAACCAGGCCAAGGCTGTCCAGGTATTTTGGTTGCGTTCGGTCCGAACCACTCAATTTCATCCAGGGGAAAGCTCCCCCAAGCCAACCACCAAGCTGGGCAGCGAGCCCCAAGCGGCACGATGACGGTGGCGAAAGTCGCTAACCGTCACCTGCCTGCTGGATCAGCTCGACCTTCAGAAATCGTCGTAACGCACAGGGGGGATTCGGCAAACAAGGCACACGAACAGTGGGGAAAAATGCGTGTGTAACACCAGATTATCTTGGCGAATGCGCTGTGTATGTGCTGCTACAATCTGTTAATGGAGAACAAAGTTATGTCAGCTTCATTGCGCCCCAGCCCCAAGCTAGTCCTCCCAATCCTGAAGTGGCCCAGTCAAGTTAGATGGGACTTCCGAAGGATGAGGTTGCGGGATCAAACCCCAGTGCCGGCGAGTTCCGCCAGCCCCCCAGAAGGGGGTTTCGCACTGCTCACCTCGGAGTGGATATGCCTCGATACCCAGCGAGGCGTGAAAACAAGTGGGTAGGCGGATTACGATCGACAGCTGGGGGTAACCCAAAGGGGGATTTCCCCCCTCCTTTACCCAAGCTAGTCCTCCCAATCAAACCCTTTCTGGCAACTGTAAGTTACTCTCAAACCGCGCATGGGTGGAATCTTGCACTATTGCAAAAGACCGAGCATTTATGTCACAACACAACGTGCAATTACCTCATGTACGTGCGCCACAATGTATTACCATGTGAGCTCATATGAATCGGCCATTTGGGTTGAAACCACAAACTATCATGGCTTACACCACGGCTAATCATGCCACAATACATAACATTGCCATGAATGGTGTAGAGCAGCCAGAACTCTGCAGGCCATGATAGCTGGTCCAATGAAACAAATGAACAACTACTGCCACTTGACTCAGTGAATGGGGCTCAGTGACGTCATCCATTGCTCCATGTCTTATCCACAAATGAAGCATCGGCTGTCGAACAACTTTACAGGACCAGGCGAAGAATACCTAGCCCAATTGCACTGACCGAAACTAGGGTACCTGCACCCACAGATCACATGCTGGTGTTAAACAGTTTGCCTGGAGAAAGACAGGCAGGAGTGCAGCAGTAAGAAGAGATGCTGAAACCATTCTCTGTAACAACTTGCCTATGCAGTATCTGATGATTTCGAACTTGGCGCCTTCTAACTCTGCCTTCAATGTGTTCACCTCCTGAAATATCAAACAAGATCATTCCAGTATTAGCATAAGGATCAGAATGTGCTAGTGTTCCATGTCTCAGCATGAACCAAGGTTACATACCCTATCCATCTTGTTGGACAAGCTGCTGAGCTCCTGAGTTTGAGCTGTGATTTCTTCTTTGATTCTCCTGTAAGGTTGTGGGGTAAGGGGGTGTTACACAGGCTTGCAACAAAGAGAGTGTATACCAATTCGACTTAACGATCTACCACATACCCTCTTTCCAAGTTCAGATCAAGACGTTGTCCTGCTGTCACCTTATCCACCTCGTATCTGCAAGTTGACAACCAGAGGACCAAGGAGCAGATGTCATAACAGCATGTGCATAGTGCTGCAGGTGCTATGAAGGTGATACACCTACCGTATTTCATTCTTTACTTTGTCCAAATCCGTCTTGAGCCCTTCAACCTCCCGAGTCAATCCAGCAAACTTCAAATCCTGTAGACCGCAACTCCCACTCGATGAGTACCCCTTCAAAACAGACTCCTTGACAGTGTTTTCGACCTTACGTTCACCCACAATTTAGCCTCCTTAGTTTCGAAAACCTTGGGTTCCTTGTTCAAATTGGTGAGCACAATGTACTCAAAATTAAATCCCTTCATACCTGGAGGCTTTGAATTTCCGTCTTGACCTTGGCCATGGCTGCCTCCGCCACCATCTCTGACTGCATATAGTGAAGAATGAACAGAGGCATCAATGAATGAAATGCGTTACTCGACTCCAGGATTGAATTGGATTGGGTTGTGAAACTGCCGATCGTCATACGTACCTTTTGCATTTCTGGCTTTGAGACGAAAGTGTGCGCGGCTGTGTCGAGGCTCTCATGGAGAACTTCTGTGATAAGATGTGTGATAGCCTCGGATTGCTTCGCCGTCAACCCTTCCGCCTCCAGCCTTCTCACCTGTTTTACAGACGCGGATCTCAGAACTAGTACAGGCAGTCCGAGAAACACTTCACGGGTTGATTGCGAAAGGGGAAACAGTGGACATGGAACTTACAAGTGCGAGCGTGTCCACGAGAAACGCTTTTCTACCGTTTGCGCTAGCTGTGACCATAGTCAGTGTTCGCCTTCCAGTGTGAAAATCTCGTCGGGGCATCGTAGGGTGGTTCGCTTGATCCTCTGGAACTGTAAATACTTGGTCACTACTTGGCAGACGCAATCCATACGGCATCACAAGCTCACTTTGCTCGACAGGAGATCGATGGCTTGCTGATTTGGCTGCCTCGTGTGCTATATGTCTGGACAATAGGGCTATCGAAAGTGGCCGCAAAACGACAATCGCCACACGTCTTCCAATCTGCTGTAGCGTGCCGTGGCTACCACTTAATGCCATATGAAGAGGTTTTTGCTGCGGGCCTGAGAACCTCCACACAGTAGTTTGCTGCAAGATTTGCAGCTCCTTGACTAAACTCGCCTAGCTACGGGTATCTATACGCCAGTCTCCAGAAGACAGCACACACGACTACAGCTTGGTACCGTCATCGTGGACCAGATGGACTAGGAGAGTCGAGCCAGAGAACATTAGAGTTCTCACCACGTGTGCTGGACGAGAAGTCGATCACTCAGATGCTAAACAAGTCTTCAATCAGCTGAGAGAACTACAACGGCTTGCACAGTATGAATGGATAATATAAAGGGTTGCTACGCAACCCAATCAAAATCGACTAGGTTGACATTAATAACCAGCAGACCAGAACTCGAGGGACAACGACACATTTGAACCAATATTCTGGTCTCATCTCACCAACCCTTCCCAAACAGCCTTCATCAAACACCGAAAGATAGGAGATACAATAAACGATACTCTCGATATTATGGACTGGGCAACCTTCAATCAGACTCCCCTCCTTGCCTTGACAGTGGATTTCCGTAAAGCTTACGACTTGTTGGACCGTCCCTTCTTATTCCAGGCTCTCGCCCATCTCGGTATACCAGAAGAGTTCATCAAGTGGATTCGTCTCATGCACACTAACACCTCTACTCGAATCTCCGTAAACAATATGGACGGTTCCCCCTTCCCTGTACGTACTGGCGTTCGGCAAGGATGCCCACTCGCCCCTCTCTTGTTCGTCTGCGCCATCGAGATTCTACATCGCTACATGTCCCTATACCTCCCTGGCTTTCCCCTATCGCCCACGAACAAACGTCTCATGGCTTGTTATGCGGATGACGTTACCATTTTCCTCACGTCAGACAAAGAACTCGAAATTGCCATTACTCATCTCATGATTTTTGCGTCAATCTCAGGCGAACACCCGAACTGGAACAAATGCTCTATCATTCCCTTCAATATTCCAAACTGCCTCATTACCCACGCAGGGCAAATCCCCATCCGGGCGCCCAATGAAGCGGAACGAATTCTTGGAATCTTTGTTGAGAAAAACCTATCAAGCACTACCACTTGGACCAACACCCTCTCCCGCATCGAACGCTCTGCTAAGTATTTCGCGGCCCTTCGCGCGACCGCGACGTGCCGCAAATCGCTCGCCTCCATCTTCCTCAACTCGGTTCTTTCATTTCCCGGTCGGTTCCAACCTCCCCCCCCTGAAATACTTGCCAGGTTAGATACTGTAGTAAGTACCTTTCTCTCGTCATCACGATACAAGGAGACCGGATTTGCCATGCCCTATATCCCATACCGAATTCTTTACAACTCGACACAGCACGGTGGAATTGGCGCAACTCGGCCTTCTATGCAAATTAAAGCTCTCACCATCCAACGCGCCCTCCGTCGTTTCGGGGCTACGCCCTCTGAGGAAGTCGCACGTTGTACGGTCTCCCTCCCATTTGGAACTCACGCTCTCCTCTCCCACAAGCTGATCTTGTCGGCCAACATTCTGCCTCCTTCCATTCCCCCACGGGCTCTCGCGGAACTTACGGAAATCTTGTCCCTTCCCTCTGCTGTGGCCCCTCCACCCATCTCTTCCTTATGTCTCCTCGCTGAACCAACGGCGTTTAATCGCTTTATCACCAAACCCAACGGCAGGCCTTTTGGGACCACCAAGTCTGAACGCTTTCGGTTGTCCCTGCAAGTCAGGCTTGGTAACATCATTCAGGTTTCACTTGATGGACTTGGCCCCATCTCTAAAAGTGAGTTTGCCACCAAATTCCCTCGTGCCGACCTTCAATCTGGCTACCAGGTCATCTGTGCTATTATACAGGCAGTTCCCAAGCCATGGCAGGATGAAATTATGGCCCCTTCCCTTGCTGTTGCCTCTCCAGGGGACTATTTTATTCCGAGTTCCGACCTACACTCTCCCCCCTCCCTCTTACTTCAAACAACCTCTTTCACCCCCCCTTTCTCGCTCTCTGCCACCCTTCATCGGGTGATGCCCAACGGTTTCTTTGAGCGCACCCCTCTCGGCTCTGGTACCTTCCACATTAAAGATGTCGTGGCGGTCCACACTCAAGGTCATTGGGTGGCTGGTCCGCTGCATACAGGTGCAGGACTTGGCGCGCGGCTGGAGGTTCTTCGTGATGGCGTCCCAAGCCTATCTGCTATTCGACAACTACTATACACGCGACGGCCGCTCGACCACGACACACGTTGGACCCACGCCCTTTCCTCCCCCTTACCCATTCCTCTCACCGACCTCTCCCACGACTTTCTTCGCGAACAGCCCAGCCTGCAACGCGATCTACTCTTCCGACTTTATACTCGCTCTCTCCCTTCAGGCTCCCGGTTCCTGTTCTCAACAAATAGGGGCCGATGCTCGCGCTGCCAGTCCCACGACATCGAGACTATTTCTCACATCTTCTTCACTTGTGGAGCGGCCCCCACTGTGACAGCTGCTCTGGGATCCGTTGCTCGACGCCACTTGGGTTGCAGCCCTCCGACCGAACACATCTTCTTTCCGCTTCCTTCTCGATCTGGCCAGACTGCCCCGTGGAGCCTACTGGTCGGTGCTGCTGCCAAGGCCCTCTGGAACGCCCGCTGTGCTCAGAGATCCAACAACGTTGTTACCTCCCGCTTTGAGATCCTGCAACTCATCCTCGCGCAGTTTCTCTTAGCCTTCAAAATTTTCCTCTGGAGACGCTCTAAACAATCTGCCAAGAAGCAACAGAAAACAGCATCTCGCGTTCAGGCGGCTAGTCGGCTTCGGTTCATATCTTTTGATGCTGACGGTTCCCCCACAATCCATCCGGACCTACGCGCCTCTTGGCTGCTTGGAAACCCCTTTCGTCCGCCCTAACCTGGTTCTCGGTTCGTCACAGAATACTCCCCAGCAAAGCTGGTGGCTGTCGGCCAGGGTAGGAGAATAATGTGTTCAACCACGTACGCCAAACGGTCGTTGGCTTGCTTAGCCGTATTCTCAGTTATTCTGTGTTTTGTATGTAACTGATTACGATCTTAATATATTCATTCTTTCACTCATCTCACCAACCCACTAGCCTTCCATACGCAGTTGGAAATGGGACCACCTTGGGCAAGCAACGAGATGAGCCGCTCTGCTGTGTGCTCAAGGGAATGTCCTGTCAGTGACCTGTGTGTGTGTGTGTACTCGTGCAAGGGCTTGCCAAAGCCCGATTGTCAGTGGTGCCCGGAATCGCGGACGCGCGGCTCGTTTCAGGAGTATTCCAGGGCAGGCGGGAGAGCTGAACCGCACCTACATTCTGCGTATGCAGAGGTTGGGAGAGAATTACTGTAGAACCATGTTTGATGATTCCTTCTTACTCGCGTGGCCTCGAATTACTCGAGTGGCCACCAGAATTGGTGATAATTACTCGAGTGGCCACGCCAGGGGATTCCCGCACGCTTTGTTTTTCCCGGCGCATTACCCTACGGGGGTCTGTAGCCTACGGCGCATTACCCGCGCATTGACGCCCGGGCATTGCAGTTTATGATCGAGGAAAAATATGATCGGGCATTAATATATAATGCTCGCGACCATTAATGGCCGCGCATGATTGGTCGATTATATGCGCGTCCAGTCAGGCGCGGTCATATAGGGTCACGAACATAAAATTCGGATATAAATGATCGCGTAATAACCAAGACAAACATTCAGGGCTACAAACCCCCGTAGGATGATGCGCCGGGAAAAACAAAGCGTGCGGGAATCCCCTGGCGTGGCCACTCGAGTAATTATCAACAATTTTGGTGGCCACTCGAGTAATTCGAGGCCACGCGAGTAAGAAGGAATCACCAAACATGGCTCTACAGTAATTCTCTCAGAGGTTGGGTTGAATGGGGTAATCCAAGTCCGGACGACGAATGAAGCGGCTAGACGTCTACTTGCCGCCAAGCTATCAAAAGTGATCGTCAATACCGAAAATTGTCCCGAGATCACGCCCGTTGATCGCGAGCACACGTGAAGTCGGTCACCTGCATTGCTGGAATAATGTGGCGGAAGCCTTCCCATCGGTTGGATGATTGCATCTGACGTGGACTGACGATGTGGCAAACAGTAATACCGCTACTAGCAAACCTCTACACCGAAAAAAAAACAAGGATGAGGAGGTCCGGTATACTTTACTCTTGAAAGCAATCTTTCCCACTTATGGACAAATAAAGAAGCAAACTTACCAGTACCGGTATGGTTCCTTTGTTCCCTGCAATAAACATACGGTCTTGGGTTGAACAACACATAGAACTACATGTACGCAATAGCAGGACCGTGCTCAATCTGGGAATCACGCCATCCGATGCATCCTTGTTCTGTACAGGTACAATGGTACACTGCTCCTCTGCAGACTCTCCACCTGGACGTGTGGGGCCCGGCCCCCGTCGGTTGGACGGACCAGGAGCGCTACTTCCTGCTGGTTGTTGACGACTACACACGCTACACCACAGTCTTCCCCTTGCGTCGCAAGGCGGACGTCAGCGGTGTTTTGATCCCCTGGATCCGTGCTACTCGTCTCCAGCTACACGAGCGCTTTCAGCAGGACTTCCTAGTCCTGCGTCTGCACTCTGACAGGGGTGGTGAGTTCTCTTCTGGCATCCTTGAGACGTTCTGCCAGGATGAGGGCATCGCCCAGTCGTTCACGCTTCCGGCCTCTCCGCAGCAAAATGGGATCGCTGAGCGTCGCATTGGCCTGATCATGGAGGTTGCT